ATATCTTGTAGATTTACCCATGTTGTCATAAATGGCAAAATTTCACTCTTTTTTCCTTAAAGTGAATTTTCTCAAAAATCCTACTCGAGGGTTGCCATATGTAATCAGGGAAAGAAAAGTAACATCAATTAAGTTAATTTAGGTGCTGTAGTAGGCTGAGTAATGACCACCCAAATATATCAGGTCCTAATCTCAGGAACCTGTAAATGTTACTTTATAAGGAAAAGGGGGTTTTGCAGATATAATTAAGTTAATGATCTTGACCTGGGGAGATTATCCTGGCTCATTTGGGTGGACCCTAACTAAATACAATCACAAGTTTCCTTATAAGAGAGAGGTCCGCTTTGTGATTTGATACAGATAAAAGAGAAGAAGGCAATGTGACCACTGAGACAGAGACTGGAGTGATACAGCCACAAATCAAGGTGTGTCGGTAGCCACCAGGATTGGAAAAAGTCAAGGAACAGATTCTCCCTTAGAATTTCAAGAGAGAGTGTAGCCCTGTCAACGCTTTGATTTTGACCCAATGGTCAGATTTCAGACTTCTTGCCTCTGGAATTCATATATACATTTCTGTTGTTTTAAGCCACTAAATTTGTGTAATTTGTTACCACAGCCTCAGGAAGTTAATACAGGTGCCCACTTATCTCAAATGCACATTCTCTGACCTATGCTGTAGGTGACACCATATCTGTCCTTTCTGCTAGTTAATTCTCAAGCTGAGCAGAAACTTTTCTTATATTACTAGAAAGTTACACTTGAGAAACAAATTTGAGAGGCACAGAAAGGACAATATATGTAATTACTATTCACTCAGTAAACATTCTGTAAATTCTTGCTATGTATCAATCTTTGATCTAAGTTCTACATTAAAAATAAGTAAGACAGGATCCTTGTCCTCGAGATCAGTTGATGAGGAGAATTAGACACACATACGTACAATTAAATTGTGTGGAACGTGCAGTAATGATCATATTCATGGGGTATTGTCAACACACTGAAGAGTGCACAGATGACAGGATAAATCTGTGTTAGCATGAAGGAAAGATGGGTTAGGTAAAGCTTCATGAGAAAGATATGCTTCTGAGCTGACGCATGAAGGAACAGATTAATAAAGCAAGTAGAAGGGGGCAAACATTTATTAACCTTTCTTTATGGATTCCATAGTTTGAAAGACACTTTACCAAAAAAGAAAACTTCTGTGTTTATTAAGTAATAAATGATAGATCGAGAACATCTCTAACTGCCAACTAGAGTTTTTATAATCAGATGCCATTACTCGCTTCCATTATTTCATCCAAAAGCAAAGGTATTTGTCATTTGTTTTTTATTTCCTGTGAAGTCTTTTCCTGACAAAGTGTGATTTTCTTTTTAATTATGATTTTTGGAATACTGACATAACAACAGAACTTTCTCCTCATTGCTTTCAAGGGCAGCCTTTCCTATCTTGGTAAAGATAATACTAACTACTTACACTAAACAATCTGGCCTAGAGAAAATTTTATTGAAAAAAACCAATAATGAGCGTTCCTGCATAACAAGGCAATAGCTCTGTCTCCTGGGGACAGCTTGCAGTATTGTTTCCTTGTAAGGCAATAGTAACAATCAGATCCTGGGCTCTTTTTACAGAGCTCCTATAAGATAATAGTAGTAAATATAACAATCAACATTTGTATAACATTCTGTCATTTTACAAAAGGGTTTCATTAAAGTGTTTGAGTATGCGTTGTTTGAGCCGTAAGTAAATCCTATATTACCATTTCAGGCAAGAGTCTTCTTTTAATTTATTTTTTCATCTTTATTATGATATTAACATAATATTTTTCCAGTTTTATTGAGATATAATTGACATATAATATTGTGTAAGTGTAAAGTGTACTATGTGTTAATTAGATACACTTATATATTGTGAAATGATTGTGTTAGCTACCACCTCTATCACCTCACATAGTTGCAATTTATTTTTTGTGGTGAGAAGATTTAAGATCTACTCTCTTAGCAACCTTCAAGTATACAATACAGTACTGTAAACTATAATCACCATGCTGTACACTCGATCTTTATTATGATATTAACATAATATTTTTCCAGCTTTATTGAGATATAATTGACAGTACTGTAAACTATAATCACCATGCTGTACACTCGATCTCCAGAACTTATTCATCTTATAACTAGAAGTTTGTACCCTTTGACCAATATCTCCCCATTCACTCCATCCCCTTGCAATCAAGGATTCTTATGACTTTATAGTT